AAACGTACAACCACATTAGTGGTACGGCACTTCGCTCGCTGACGCACCTCCGGACTTTAGATGTACCTCCCATTCTATGCTGTTTATGTTCGGTTAATCCTTCGTATCGTCGTTTCGCTGTATTGCTTGGATCCCCACTCGTACATCTCAAGACAAATATCACAAAAACACTTCTAAAGCTCTCATCATGCTTTATACGGCGTATGTAGACGTCATGGAAGCGATCTCACCTCGAGGACTTGCGACTCATGCATGACATACCTCTACATATACGTCTGAGTGTGATAAGGCTGCTTTGGCTCGTGCTGTTTCACGGTTTTGGTAGTAGTAGCGAAACTGATCAAAATAGACTTTTGAGTCAAGTATTTGATGTACAGTACAGGACAATGTACCTTTGTGACCCAGACGACAAAAATCAGAGACTACAACCGCCTGCCTCCTCTGCTCCCTCCACCAGCAGGCGCTTTTCGCTTCTTGAATAGGCTGCCCCCTGTTGGTGGTGGGGGCGGGGGCGCGGCCGGTGGAAGAGGCTCGGTTTTGACCTCTGACTTCAACTCCGGCAGGGTTTGATGCTCAGGTTCGGGTGCCAGTTTGTCGAGAGACTCCTCCCCCATCACACCGTCCTCCTCTACCTTGGCGTGCCCGTCCGCCTGCCCAGAGTTAGCGGTGGAGGACGCACCAGGCTTGTTCCATCCCCGTGCAGACCACTTCGGCATCTCACTCCCTTCCAGAGCTGCCCCCTGCACCATTCCTGCACTCGTCTCCGGGACCGCTTCCTTCTTCGGCTTCAACTTGATGGGCACCGCCAAGGGGTCGTAGAGCTCTCCGAGCCCTACACTTGCTGTCTTTCGCCTGAGTTTCCATCCTCGAGTGTCTTCATCATCTGCAGGTGCGTCCGCTGGCCGCTTCTGCCCTGTTTGTGACTCCGTACTAGACTCTCCAGGTTTCTCCCCTTCGCCGTGCTCCCCACCGTCCTCGTCCTCCGGCTCCTTGGGTTGCACGATCTCAACGACTTGCCACTCTCCTGCGACGCCTTGTGTTTGCCTACGCTCAGCTTCAGCCTTTGCTCGCTCGGCATCGGGGTCCGTAAAACCCAGCGACTCCGCAGTCGAGTAGTTGGCGAATGGATTCGACGGTTTAGGCGCGGCAGTCTTTGGGGCAGCAGTTGCAGTGGAAGAGGACGCGATAGGAGAGCCACTACTACCCGCTTTCGCAAGTCCCGTGCTGACGTCTTGGGCAAATGCTGCACTTGCTGCCTGCACAACGTATAAGCATATACACGATAAACCACAGGATGCCAGGCAGGCGCACCTTCTCTATCCTCGCCATCTCCCGCTTCTCCTCTTCCATGTCCTGCTTGCGCTTCTCTCCAGCCTTGTAGAGGCCGCGGACAAACCGCTCGACGTTGCCTTTATGCCGGAGACCCGTTTCATGTTGTCTGCGTGAAGGTGCATCGTCGGCGATGTAGATATTGCAGTACTTGCAGAGGTACTTCTTATGCGATACCCAGTATTCAGACATGGTAACGTGGTAGCTGAGGGTAAAGGAGGACCGTGACCGAACCGCGGTAGGCAGTGCTTGTCGAAGGCCAAGGGCTTAGCGCTGAGAATCGTAGTCATGTGCACTTGAGAGGGGATCACGTTATCGCGCCTACACCACCAGTGAACCACGACGCGCGTCAGTGCCGACGTCGATCGCTCCTTGTCCTCTACCATCATCACCTTCTGCTAGCCCTGGTGCAAGTCCTCTCAATACAAGGCTACGAAGAGCGCGTGCATACAGGTAGCCAAGATGTCCCTTCAGGACCCACCTCCCCCGACACCAGATTCGGACAGTCTGGTACGACGACTTGCAGGTCCGTCCACTACCAAGGCAGGGTAAGATCGAGAGTGTTCGTTTTGTACGGTTATAAGTTCTCATTTGTCCATTAGACTTGCGAAGGACCAAACTGAGATTAACCGTATCATTGCTGAGGCGTCCAAAGGGTCCAAATTCTATGAAGTTGGTGTTTCTCGTCCCCATTCTGAGTCACGTAAACTTTATCTCAACCAGATGTGTTTAAGAATGAGAAACGCAAAGACAAGGACCTCACCGAGAGGATAGAACGGATACTCTGTCAACGTGAGGAAGTAATTCGAGGGGTGGACCTCAGTGCGTCATCTTCCTTCAGTACCGATTGACGGTTCTTATAGTTCGTCAGAGAGCGTCGAGCAGGGAGTAGACAATCTGGTCAGTGTGTTACGCAAGAAGGCGTTAGTATTGGAAAAGCTTATCTTAAGTGTAGATTGCTCAATTCGAGGTGCAAAGAGATCTCTCACAGGTCATCGTCCATGTAGACATGGACGCATTCTATGCCAGTGTCGAACTGCTCGATAATCCAGACCTTGCCTCTAAGCCATTTGGTGTACGTTCTGCGATCGTTGATACACAAGCATGAGTTCAATTGTGCTCTGCAGGTTGGCCATGGTGTGCTTACAACTGCATCATATGAAGCTCGCAAGTTCGGTGTACGCTCCGGCATGCCCGGTAAGTTGCTCGGACTAGCTTCTGTGCAGCTGCGCTCAGACATCCATCAGCATTTATCGCAAAGAAACTTTGTCCGGAACTCGTCATCATATCCAGTCACTTTCATCGGTACTCTGAGATGTCAGGGAAGGTTATGGCAATTTTCCGACGTTACGACCCCAACATGTGTGCCGCTGGTTGTGATGAAGGCTACCTCAAGTAAGGTCAGCTCATCATCTTTTATTCAATGCACTTATAATATCGGTTCTGCAGCATCACTTCGTATTGCGAAGAGCACTCCCTATCTCCGGAGGAGTGCGTGTCGGAGATCAGGCGTGTCGTACACGAGGAAACCAAGTTGACCGTCAGCGCTGGAATCGCGCCCAACAAGGTTGGTGGTGTATAAACAACATAGTTGTGTAGGCCTCTAATCGTGATTTCGAAGATGTTGGCAAAGGCGAGCCTTCAATCTGACTGCACATTCGCCTGTCGCTGACGAAGCCCTAGATATGCTCAGACAAGGCATGAGCCTGACTCTTCTCTACCTGGCGCGCGGGGCTGACTATATTTACCTAGAACAAACCTAACGGACAGTTCAAGTTGGATTTCGAGCGTCAAGCCATCAGGGCGTTCATGCACGACCTGTCCATACGGAAGGTGCCTGGTGTAGGTCGTGTGAATGAACGACTGCTCGAGTCAATCGGTATCAAGGTACCTCCTCGCAGAATTTGCTATTCCGACACATGTGCTGAAAAGTCTACGTTAAGACGTGCGGGGACATCTTCACGCAGCGTGCTACGCTGTCCTTGTTGGATAAGCAGTTCGGCCTGATGTTCCTGCTTCAAGCCTACCTAGGCATCGCCTCAAACGTGGTTGAACCCTGGCAGCGTGAAGAACGGAAGAGCATCGGTGCCGAGCGGTGAGAACCAGGACTAAACCACGACATTGATCATCTTGTCACTCATACATCATCGCACGTAGGACATTCCATCCTATCTCGGATACTGCTAAGATACACGCTAAGCTTGACGAAGTCGCCGCCGAGCTTTCAGACGACATGACAGAAGGTGGATGGACAGGGAAGACCATCACGTTGAAGTATAAATTGGACACTTACAAAGGCAGGTTCCTTCTTCGGCCTGATCACTGTATGTCAGGGGGGCTAAGACGTTACTAGTCTTCACTCGTGCCAAATCTTTGGATAAGTGGGTCTCGACACGGAAGGAAGACCTTCTCGCTGTATGTCGTCCTATAAATGTCTGGTGTCATGCCGCGTTGTTGTTGACTGGACGGATGATTAGATCGGAAAGGAGCTACTCAAGCCGGAGCTACCTCTGACACTACGACTGATCGGTCTTCGTGTAACGAAGCTCAAGGATCTGAAGGCCGAGGTGGAGTCCAAAGCTCGTGGAATCAAACGAGTACGGTTCCACATGATGACTACAAACATGCATTGCTCATCCTCTCATCCAGTTCTTTAACCTGGCCCCTTCTTCCAGTCACGGATCTCCTAGCAAAAGAAGACGGGTTGATACTACGCGGCCGGACGAAGGCGACGAAGAACTTCCTTCCCTTTCACAGGATGGCTTCGCAACTTCAATGCCAGGGTATCTCGATGATGCGGAAGCTGACGCAGAGCATCTCACCGAGGTGGACGATATGGGCGAGCTGGTACGCCAAGCTCCCGAACCGATGTCTAAGCCATGGTCATCGTCGGGTGTCCATCGTAATCGAGGAAGCGCACCAAGTAGTTCAAAGGGGCCGCCCGTCGCCACTGCCTCCACCTTGTCGAAGCCTCTGTCCACCTCATCATCTTCACCCGAACCCCATAAACCCTGCATCACATCCGCGAGTCCGACAAACCATGAACGACAGGCCGATGAAGACGTATCCGCGCCCTTGCTCGAATGCCCTCTGTGTCGCAAGAGGCTCGAAACAGATAACCAGGGGCTCAATGAACATATCGATTTCTGTCTAAGCAAGCAGGCAATTAAAGAGGCACAAGCAGCCTCGTTCCAACAGCCAAGTCGTGGTCGTGATGGCTCTTTGCCTCCCTCGAAACGAAAGCCGGGTCACAAACCATCATCAAATCGGCAACGTACTCACGCAGATTATGGTGAAGGACTTCTCAGATTTCAGAAGCAGTCGTGATCTGCCTTAGGCCACTTAGGCCCTCCATATGTTGCACTCCTATTCTTATGTATGCGAGACACTTATAACATAAGCGTGACCTTGACACTCGATTAAGAAACTCTCCGTGCGCAACATATTATATCATCCGACTAAAAGATACTCGATATAGAATAGAATATCGCTCCTTGATATATGGAGCGAGGACACTGGGACGGCTGGTTTTAGGAGCCTGGAACAGTGTACTATTTGAGACTCCACCTTGTCCCAATTCAAACAATTTCTGTGTACTCACCTTCTCGCTCGACGCTGAATTGGTGGGCATGAAAATGGAGTGACTAAAAACACAATTTATGCACAAGACATGATGAGAGTGGGATTCGAACCCACGCCCTTTCGGACCAGATGGTCTTGAATAGATTCATTCAATGCCTTAGTCTGGCGCCTTAGACCGCTCGGCCATCTCACCATACTATCGAATTTTGGTATGCTTTTATCACCTGCAAACACATGTTGAGGCCGAATAGACATGTTTGATTGGGACCACATAGAAAAGCGATAGAACTACAATATTGTTGCTACATAGTTATACTGTCTAAGTTACATGAACGTGTAACGCTGGATATCGTCATGATGTACTACAGCTACATAGGATAGCAAATAAGATGTTGTTCGTACTATAGTCAAGTCCGACTCCCATAGTGCAGCATCGCGGACGGCCTTGGGTACACGCAGTTGGCGGCTCCGCGATACGCATCACCAACCTAGCATACTCATAGAAGTATAAGAAGTAGAGACGCATAGCTTAGGAGACCTAGCACTGCGATCAAGACCATCTGCTGGCGTCAGTAGTAGCTTCTGGGGCTCAACCATCCTCAGCCATTCAATGGGTGACAAGGTCGACGCTACGAGGGGCCGGAGGCAGAACAATTTGTTCAGTGGACCATGGGTATGTAGTCTTTGTTCGTGTGAAGGAGCGACCGAAGGTCAATGCCGGGGTCTTGGTAGAGGACGACCGCGTAGGCGGTATCAACGTTTTTCGCGCCTTGCGTACAAATTGTTACTCTTTGCTTCCACGACGAAACAATGGATATGTACCTTTGCCGTCGGCTGTGCCGATTTTTTGCGATGCAAGCGCAAGCGGAGTCGCGCTGTTGTCTCGACGGTCTTGAGGTCGGTGCTATCCTCTGAGCTGGAAGCGCGCGACTTGCGACTGGATGGGGCGGAGGTGAGCGTATCGCGGCGCTCGACAACGATCTCGTTGGGTCTTATCTGTACCGAGATATCGGCACCCCTCGCGTCCTCGGAGTGCAGGATAGTGACGCCGTTCTTCTGCGTCACCTCTACCGCTTTGGAAGGAACCTGATTGGTAGCACGTGAGCGACGGAAGAAGGATAGGACGGGAGATTTGACGTTGGCGTTGAAAGGACTTGAATTGTTCCGCCGGGAAACCCTAGCCCAGCCACTGCGCAGCGGATGCCGACTTGGCGATTTGGGACGCGCGAGACACCAGGTAGGGAACACGAGTGTCGCGACGTATGTGCCCAGCTGAGTGTTCAGGGAGCCGCGGTAGTTGTGGGAGTGGATAGCGAATTCGGTGCCCACCGATATCCCCTGCATTTCTCCAGCATCGATCCGCACCAACCCCTGGTCCTGGACCGAAACCGGGACGAAGCGGTCGTCGGGAGCGAACGGCACGCCATCAAAGAGGAGTCGGTCGACGTTGGCTCCACAGGAGGCAGCGTGCTGGTGGTCGCCCATGTAGGACACAAGTTCGGCGGCAATGTCGGCATAGGTGAGTTTGTGGAGAGGGCGAGCGTCTTTGAGCGACAAGAGGGCCCGAGTAAAGTTTCCACCGTCCTTGCGTTCCGTTGCGATACACCCGGCTCCGCAGGCAGCGAGGACGACATGAGAGTCGGAAGTCATCCCGGTGAAGCCTCGGTTGGCCACGTGCCCCAGCGTGCGCGGAACCGCGCTGCGCCAGAGCCCCGCACGGAGATCCTCGGAGGTGGCTTTGCGCGTCGGAGTGAAGCGAGTGTAACGACGCTCCTTGGAATCGTCGGAGTTGATAGATGGGAGGCAGAAACAGGCGTCGAGAATGAGGGTGATATTGTCGCCCTTGACTCCGGCGAGCTCTTGGAACATGGTGTGGAGCGAGCGATCGGATATCCCGACGATGGTTGAGCCCTTCGAGGGCTTCGTATCGTAGTCATAGGTACAAAGGACGGGGACTTCGCCGCGGGGGCGGTCGGACCAACCAGGTGGCGCAGGGATACTACTACCGTGGCCGGCGAAGTAGAAGATCATAGCATCTCCCGGCTCGATTGCGGAGTTGCTGAGGAAATGGCTCGAAAAACGTTCTTCGATGTTGCGCTTCGTCGCCTGCGAGTCGAGGAGCGTGCAGATATTTCGGCGGGGGACTTGAAGGTCGTGGATGAGCCAACGCTCGATGCTGCAAGCGTCGTCAACCGCGGCATTCAGGTTCCAGACATTTCCGGACTGGTATTTATCGATACCGACGATGATGGCAAAGACCTGTCCTGCCATGACCTACGACTCTGTGCTCAGCAGACGATTCCGAGTTGTGCGAAACAAGCACTTACGCGTCAAGAGTAGGTAGAGGTCGCGAGACCGAGAGGTGTTTGTGGGTTGTGTTCGGGAGTTCCAGTGCTGAGAGCTGGATGACGCGACGGCGGTTTTTATACCTCACTCACCTGCTTACAATTCAGACTATCGCGCGTGTGCTGCCACGCATGAAAACTACTCTAGGATTTTGCAGCGCGCATCTCACGCGCAATGGAGCGACTGCAGGTTGTGCCGACAAACCCTTCGCTGAGGTCCACACTGGATCGACGGCGCGTCAGAAGCCAGAACCAGGCTAGGCTCAACAGGTATTGAGGAAGTGGTTGCCAGTATGGCACCCACCAAACGGAAGATCCACGGAGGGTTTGAACCAGATCCATAGGGACTCAGTGAAGGGATTCAACTAAGAACTTGACAAACAAGACCAATGTCAGCCACAGGATGGAGAGCTCCATCCCTCGTTCTCTAGTATGAGTGTATCACCGTGAGCAGCCTTGTGATCTGAACAAGCACATGAGGAGTTTGCTGCGAGGATCCAAGCGGTATGAAGACGCAGGGTTGAAGACGATTGGTATACGATGCATAATACCCATGAACATCGGCTTGGCCTCCTCATTCGTCCGACAGCGAAGCCTGGGATCCGGGCTTGGCGAGACACATAGAGTTCGTGGTGGTTCGGTGCAGAGTCTGAGTCTGATCCGAGCCGCGTGCAAGCCTGACACAAGCCCCAACGTGGCTACAACCTACGTATATACGTAGCTGGCGGGATCTGGCGGGACCCGGGTCACCTGGTCTGGCGCTTAGCCACAGCTCCCAGTCATCGCAGTAGGCACAGTACCACTCAAGTGCAAGTTCTTCTCGTTAACCGTCCCGCCCGAGCGAGCAAACAAGGTCGATTTCAAGCGCAAGTGATACCAGTGCAGTACTGTGATGAGTCTATGGACACAACTAATCGATTACTGACCTGCCCTAAACCATCTCTCATTCAGCACAGCTTCGCGTTTGTTCTACCAGTCTTCCAAGTTGGCAGTCCCACAGAGCTACGGTCCGTGCAAGATACTTTCGTAAGTGGCTAGCATATGGACGAGCTTCAGAGAAGTGATGTTCGACTGCAGACTCAGACAGGTGGGACTATAAGTATAGCAACCATCGCGCATAACCCGGTCGAAAGACTCGACTCCTCTGGCAATCGGAGGGTACCAACCGCATAGTGTCCGCACGATGAACTTCGTTTGTCAACAATGTAAACAGCCTCTCCAAGTGAGTTGTTACGAAGCCTCATAGCAGCGAAAAAGCCTCATCACGTATGTGCGATTTTTAGCTAGACGCCTCGTTGGTGGATCTTACGCCGTCTGCGTATGATATTGTCGCATCGTCGTTACCACCCGCACCTTCATCTTCGCACGGACGCCAGGCGTCTGGCGCGGAGAAACTTGCTCAGCTCCCCTCTCCATCTTCCGCAAAGGCGGCATGGAGAAACTCCGTGCAGGGTGTACCGTCTTCTTCGTCTTCGAGCACCCTGTCCTCGCCCACACAACGGAAACAGCCGCAACGGCCACCTATGCATCCCAATGAGTCATTTGTGCTATTGCAGGACAGCGTCATCCGGACAATACCGTCCAACCTGCCTGCTACACCGCACGCGAAGAAGCCGTCTGTCACCAGGGTTCGAGCTGCGGCACCCGCGGCGCCGCCGGAGGAAACTCCCTACCCGAACCCCTCGCCCCTCTCCCACCGCCTCCGCTCTTCACTGCGGTTGTTTAATTTGCTGTCAAGTCGGACGGACCTGGATCATCCTCTATGTGCTGAATGCACGCACATCCTCCTTAACGCACTCACGCGACAGTTGGAGGAGACGAAGAAGGAACGTGATGGCTACATCGCGTTTGAAAAGGAAGTGCGGAAAGAGAAAGAGCGTGAAGGCGCAGCAGCAAGCAGCAAGGCCGAAGCCGAGGCAAAGATCGAGAGGCTCAAAGATGAGGAGCGGCTTGCAGTCGAGCAGCTCAAGGCCGCGGAGCGCGAACGGCAGCAGCTGGAAGAGGAACTCAAGAATCTCGAGCGGGAAGAGAAGACCCTTGAGGAAGAGGAGGCAGAGTTCGTCTGCGATCCGCCCCTGCTGGTCATCAGGTGTTGACGCACTTCATTACATTACAGGTTCTGGCGCCAGCACAATGCACACCTGCTCAAGGCCGCGGAGCAAGCGTCGCAGCTTGCCGCACTACGCGCAGCGTATGCCGCAGACTCTGCGGTGCTAGAGAAACTGGAGAGAACGAACGTATACAACGATGCCTTCTGCATCGGACACGACGGGGTGTTTGGAACCATCAATGGACTACGTCTCGGCCGTGTGCCTGGTGTTCCTGTGAGCCTCGTTCACTGCATTCATAGTAGCCATCTAATCAGCATACAGGTCGAGTGGGCGGAGATCAATGCAGCATGGGGCCAGACGTTGCTGCTTCTATACACGATTGCCCGCAAGCTTGATTTCACGTTTGAGAAGTGCGTTGTCCGTGCATATCCTAAAATAACATATAGGTGCTAAGAATAGTATTTGTATAGCTATCGACTGGTGCCCATGGGGTCTTTCTCGCGGATAGAGAAAACTACAGGCGACAAGGCGACGTACGAACTGTACGGGTCAGGAGATCTGCACTTTGGACGTCTCCTTCACAACCGTCGGTTTGACTTTGCCATGGTGGCCTTCTTAGACTGCCTCAAGCAGCTCATGGATTACGTGAAGTCGCAGGATCCGCAGGTGGACTTCCCGCATCAGTCAGTTTGACTTTCCGTTAGCCGAGATCTGCGCGAATGTGTCAACTGACGCATGGTGGCAAATTTTCCTAGGATCGTGAAGGACAAGATTGGCGAGGCATCAGTCAAGCAGCA